AGATGGGGGATGGGAGTGAGAGGGCAAGGTTTGTTGTAGTTAAACAGTCAATAATCCCAAAAAAGGGGGATCTGGGTGGAAATAAAGGCATTGACTACCATTGTTTCCTAGAAAGTTTTGACATAAAATAATGACCATATCAAGGAAGCCAGCACAGCCCAAAAAACAAATAATTTCCTTGCTTAGTGGAGAAAAATGGCAGCCAATGGCAATATCGTTTTAGGATACAATTTTGCCTGGAGAACACTTTGGAAAAGAACTGTAGGAAGAAGCATTACATCACAAAAGCAGTTGAAGAGAAAATGAGCCTGTTGAAAGTGTGGGATGAACAAGTAAACCATCTTTTCCTCAGAGAATTTGTGGATGAAACAGGAGGACAACAGATGTATAATGGAACAGAAATACTGGTATTTTAGCTGTGTTTTCATGAGCAACAATAGTAGAACCACCACATTTGAACTCTACTGCCTCAGTACCTAATATTACTAACACATAATATATGTGAGGAAGTGACAACAGCATTTCAGAAGATTATGAAAAAAAAAGATTAAGTAAAGACCTAATCAAATGCTTTTTTTTTGAAGAAATCTGCTGAAGGTAACAGTTTTAAAAACCTTCAAGAATTAATTCTCAAATCATGTTAAGAAGGGAAAGATTCCAAAAGAATGGCAAGCATCGTGATTGGTGCTTTTACTTAAAAAAATGGGATTTGGACTAAATGACCTTAGAATTCCCTTAAAACACTAAGATTCTGTAATTCTTTTTAGTTAGATAACAACCACCACATTATAGGCCTGCTTTCATATCTTTGTAGAATCTCTGTGATAAAGTCTACACAACCATCAGACATATTCTTAAAAAAACATGAGATGAAAACAAGCCAATCCTCACAGATAATTCTCTATACTGGGCACCTCATTAAAGTCACATAATTGATTGAGTGGGGACTCTTTAAAGTTATTAAAGAGTCACCTGTTTAATAGAGAATATTAGACCCCAATGTGTTTAATATTTATTAAGATATGATATAGAAGAAAATAGTTTACAAGATATATAGAAGATATAGATTTAGAAGCTATATAGAAGATAATTTATTTGATATAGAAGAACAATTCAGGTTTGAGGCTCTTTTCAGATAAGATATCTCTCATATGTATATTAAAAGCATTCAAGAAAGAGCTAGAGTTCTAGCTTTCTAAAATTACCTCCTGATTATTGGCATTGAGTAATGTTCGAAATAGGGAGATGAATTATGTACTATGAAGTATCCTATTGTAGAAAGACCTCTAGATTTGGAGTCAGGAAGATCTGGGTTCGAATCTATCTTCAAACATTTAGTTACAGTGTGTCTCTGAACACGTCATGTAACCTCTGTGGGCCTCAGTTTTATCATCTGCCAAATGGAGATATCACTACTTCCTAGAGTAGTTCAGTCGCTTGAGACAATATATGTGAAGTGCTTTACAAATCTGACAAAGCTACATCAAAGTCAACTCTTGCTAGATAGAAAGTTAACTTTGTTACCATTTGATCTTTTCTTTTGAACAGTTTATTTTTTTTATTCTATCATATAATTTATTTACCTGTAATTTCATGAATATAGGGAGTTCCCACTGATCACCTTCCTCTTCCAGTGCAGATTGCAATCTCCCCTGCAATTTATATTTTAGAGAGCTAACTGGGAGCACTGAGAGGTGAAGGGACTTGTCCAGGGTCACACAGGCAGGACATCTGAGAAGCAGGACTTTCTGACTCAGAGTCTAGTCCTTTCTAATTCCATGCTGTCTCATGCTGCTTTTTAAGCAATAAAATAATGAAATTTATATTAGCCTATTAATTTCTTTTGATAAATGAAATATGTGGGGTTTTCTAGGGAAAAAAATTGATTTCATGGAATTTAATTGAAGGTATGTGTAATTTTTAAAATGTCATCAAGAGATTTGAGATGGTTCTATCCACAAACATTCAAGCATTTAGTTCTCTGGGCTTCTGCACTGGCTCATGCCCCTAAAGTGGACTAACCTAGGATTGGGAGCATTCTTTCTTAAAAATAAGATATAAAAATAGTTGAGAGGTAAAATCTCCTTTATTGAATTACTGTACAATTTGGTCATCAGCCAAAGATATTAAATTATACACTTCAAAAAAAAGTAATATTTCATGAGCATTTTTACATATCATGCCCAGGAGGTTAAGGTCTTCTAGAATTACATTTTCAGAAAAATTCCACCACTTTGCAGTCCACATTTATTCAAAGTGACTGAGATTTGTTTTTTTAATGGAACTAAATTATAGTTATGAGAGCTATAAAAAGCCAGTGAAAACCCATGGATGAGAAACATGCATACACAAATACACTAAATTTTAAAGCGGAAAAGAAAAGGAAATGAAAGAAGAGCTAACCGGTATTTATTTCCCATGCTGGAAGACTGTGTAGGAACTTCTTCCCCAAGTAAATCTTATATCTGAATTTTAAAGATCTGGGAGATTCTTGTGAGAATGCTGAGGCAGCAGGCAGCAGGGCTGACAAGTGTGGTTGTAATTAGCTCGGCCAGCACCTAGTTACTGCAGTAAAGATTTCTTCACTCTCTCGTAGGAGTAAAACAAAAATCCTATCAAACAGCAAGGATCTGTTGTCTTCTATCAAACCCATTTGAAATCTGTTTGCCCAGGTAATCTGGTGTTCTTTAAAAAGAAAGATTTTTTATCAACACCTTCATATAAAAAGGACCCATTGTAGCACATGTTTCACACATTCCTAAGCTTCCTACATAGCAGTACTCAAAGGAGCCCCCCACTATACAAAGGCTCTCCTAATCAGTGTTCTCCAATCCCATGTATTAGCTCTCTCTTTCTCTTTCAATTAATTTGTTATTTTGTATATTCTTTAGATTTACTCAATTGGTACAGGATGTTTTCCCCACTAGGATTTAATCTCCTGGAGTGCAGAGACCTTGACCTTCATCCCCTGCACCTAGTACAGTTCCTTCCAAAGAACAGGAACTTAATAAATGTTGAATTTAATTAGATTGAATTGATAAAGTGAAACATTTATTAAGAAAATCTTAGGGATGTCATTGAATGTTTTAACAGCAAGGCTTAAAAATTTATGTTTTTCTGTGAACTGCACAGCATTTCCCCTAAGGGCAGCAGATTCACATTCCATTTTACAAATATTTAGGTGACACTTGAAAAAATTCACCACTCTTTCTTTAAAGAAAAAAAAAACAAACTTTAGAGCATTGCTTCTCAACCAGCATGCAACAAAGTAGTATGAGAGCTGTTTAATGGATAACATACGCTGCTGTGATTATTCAGTTCCTGATGCGATCAGAGAAGATAAACAAACCTTTCATGGCAGATAACATCTTCCTTCCCCACCTCCTGTGCAAAGAAAGTGGCTGTATTCAAAGAAAGCTGAATTGGAACCAACAATGCAGTCAATCAACAAACATTTATTAAGAGTCTACTAGGTGGTAGGCAGTGGGCATACAGATTAAAAAGGGAAACAATCTCTGCTTTGAAGGAGCGTACATTCTATGTTGTAGTTCAGTCGTTTTCAATCACGTCCTACTCTTTGTGACCCCGTTTGGAGCTTTCTTGGCAAAGATACGGGAGTGGTTTGTCATTTCCTTGTCCAGCTAATTTATAGATGAGGAAGCTGAGGTGAACGGGGTGACCCTTGCCCAGGGTCACACAGCTAGTAAGCGCCTGCATCTTCCTGACTCCAGGCCCTGCTCTCTATTCACTATGCCACCTAGCTGCCCTTACATTCTACAGGGAGAGCTAATATGTACATATATAAGTAAATTCAAAATAGGGACAGAGGGCACCAATGGAACCTTGGACGAAGCTTTTTTATTGAAGGTGATGCTTGAGTGGCAGCTTGAAAGAAAAGAGGGGTTCTTTGGGGTGGGTACAAAGGCATGGAGAGGGAGCTTTGTGCTCAATTTTGGACAGAACATTAATGTAATACATACATATAAAATTAATTGTTATTACATTATTAATAATAAATATCATATTTATTATATAATCCAATAATTGTGATGTTTATGTTGTACTATAAAATACAATAATAAATATTATATTTATTATATAATATAATAATTGTAATGTTTATTTTGTACTATAAAATACAATAATAAATATAATAATTATTACATTAATATCATACACACACATATAATATACAAATAAGTACAGAAAGTAAGTAAGCTGGTGAGCAGACTCAAAGTCACGCTATATGAAGATCAAGGTTTTCATGTTATCCTCTTTTGTGATTGGAAAAGATAAAATTATGTTGGATTAGGGGTGGGAAGGAGGATGGTTGTAAGACAATGGACAGAAATCATTGAACATGTGTTGGGTATTTGTAGATAGGGACAGATGACCTCTCTAGGACTCAGTTGTCTCATCCCTAAAATAAGGAGGGATGGACAGATAATTTCGAACTCTGTAATTCTATTACATAATTCTTTGTTGTAATTCTATTATATAATTCTTTGTTGTAATTCTATTATATAATTCTTTGTTATAATTCTATGCAGGGGTACAACAGGCTAGCATCTTATAAGTAACTGAACAATTTGAAATGCTAAGAAATTACAATGAAACATCTTTTTTCTTCTTCCTTTGCATAAGTAATACCTCCATTTCCTCCCTATTGGTGCATTTTCAGATTGTTCTCAGGGGTCTTTTTATACATTGAAGCTATTTTAAAGGGACATTGGTTTTTTACAGGAGGAGCCAAGTGCACAGGTGCTATCTTGGATTTATTCTTCACCAAACAATCCCCTCAGCAGAACTGTTTTATGCCCTTTAAAGCTGTTATTAAGTCCTGCTTAAAACAAGACAAGTGAAAATATTCATCCAGTAGATTTATAAAATTGTATTCGGTTTTCATCTGCTAACTTTTCCAAAAGGAAGTTTGGGTTTTTTTTTAATTTGTACAAAAAAGGAATCTATTTCTTTTCTTACATGTTGTCTTCATTTTGCAGCCTACGTTTCCTGTAGGTCCAGCCCTAGGAACAAATGCAGCGATTGGTTTCGCTCCTTACTTAACACCTGTAACCCCTGGAGTTGGGCTAGTCCCTACTGAAATTCTACCCACCGCTCCTGTTATTGTTCCTGGGAGTCCGCCTGTTACAGTCCCTGGCTCAGCTGCTACTCAGAAACTCCTCAGGACAGATAAACTCGAGGTACTTTCCTTAATGCTCATGATTAGAAGCACATTTCTATTCTAGTGAGTGCATGAAGAATAATAATTCAGGTCTAGTGAAGCAGCCTGCCCCACCCCAAAAAAAAGGCACACTGCTTTATAGGCCTAAGTATTGAAAGGAATTGGACTGCGAGTTAAAATTTTAATAATAATGATGAAAACAAGATCCACAGTCCTTTGTTCAGTTTACATATGTTTCCTGTTATTGGATATATAGCAGTATTGTGCTTAGTATTTTTAAATAGATGAAAATTTGGGAATTTAATAAAAATATCTGTGGATTAGTAGATTTTTAAAAACTAATCTGCGAAGCTATTATATTGTTGTTCTAACTCAAGGAGACCTCAACAAACACTATGTCTATCAGGTTTCCACTTGAATCTGAGCTATAGAATTTATCCATTTATTTTATATTTTGCATTCCTTATTGTAGAATTGGTCATGAGTATCAAATGTAAATATTACAGTAGATTTACTGAAGAATTCACTTAAGTCTACTTCTGGTTTTAGTTTCTATATGCTCTTGTGTAAAGGTGCTTTGAAATTATGCTATCCTTAGTATTGAATCATGAGAATATGTTCTTTCAACTTGTATTTGTTTGAGTTAAATACACGTTTGAGTATTGGCCCACTAAAATCTAGTGGCAATGAAATGTTGGTATGTTTTAGAATCGAGACTTTCAGGCGACCACTACTTAAATAAACATTTTCAGAAGGCTTTTATTGGAACCATGCTTCTTTTTCACTCATAGTATTAAGAACAAAGCATATACTTACCTTACTCATACATGTCAACACCCATTGTGTATCATAAAATTTCTTCACACGGAAAACAAAGGGCTTGAAAACGTTGTCCTGACATCATCTCCACCCTGAACATCAATTACTCCAGTCTTCAATATATATCAAGCAGATAAAATATGCTAGACTTCACGAGCAGAATAAAATATGGCACAGATAGGACTGCCTCTGAAAAAAGTTTACGAAGAAAAGTTGTGAAAGACTAATGGGAAAAAAAAATCTTAAGCCCCGAATCCTTTTTGGTGAACAATTCTAACACACAATGAAAAATAATTGCCTTTCAAAAACTGCAAAATGTTTTGGGCTCCACCTACTGGCCTCACAAGAGAACTGATGGTGAGCATTGTACAATAATGGGCAGATTAAAAGTGCTGAGTCAAACCCAGGTGATGTGAATAAGCAGACCTTCCATAAATTTCTAATAGACAATAATAACATAACACAAAATAATTGAAATGGCTTTTAGCTCATTTCAAGTAAGGAACAAGGTCTACAACAGTACAGTATATCCATCCCTGATACTCTTAAATTTAGGAAACACTTAATCAGTACAAAACATGACTAAAGAATATGTTCTTTCTGGGTATGAAAAAATCTTTACATGTCGTTTAGGGGAAAACAAAATATTTTCTCCTTCATGTGTTACAGGCTAAAGACAGAATGTCAGCTAATGTTCCTAGCAGGAAAGACCTACTGCTGCTTTTATAATGTGTTCAATTTAGTCTTCAAACCAGTTAACCAATTGCAGATGAAATTCTGAATTTCAGACAGATGTTTGATTTTTAGGAAGCTTGCATTTCACACCAAGAGCTAAGCTCAGTTAAACGCTTTCATACACCAACAAATGTGATTACGGCACAAAACACTACTTTAACAAAATAGCATTTAACCTTTAGAATTGAAATCTAAAGGTAATTTAAAATTTTATTAGTCTTTTTTCTTTGCTACTGATATTAGAACTAACAAGTTACTGAGAATTTTTTTCTTAATTCTAAAGAAATTTTGCTTTACGTAGTAAAATTGTGTTGAACCAGAATGCTTTAGAGATGACATGTTCTGGTTACTTGCAATTTTGAGATGAGAGTTTAGGAAAAAGCTCTTTTTATTTCAGTGCTTCCTGTTGGAAATATTTCTAAAATATTTTAATCCACTTTCATGTCTCACCAAGTACACTACAGTGAGCATAACTAAATCTATCTCTGATGATTAAGGATATGATAGTTCATTATACTCATAATTGTAGACCTCAATTATTACTATATAGCAGGAGTGACTTTTACCTTGGTAAGGGGAAAAGTAGCTTTATTCCCTCTTCCACTGACCCTTTTTATTATATGTAAGCTTCCAGGAACCCAGAGCAAACCATGGAAATGTGGGAAGGCAAAGAAGAGATCATACCTGGTTGTAGGTGAATTCTTCACTAGGACTCTGATCTCAGCCCATGTTCTTATTTATCTCTTCATCCTAAAAGCAGGGCATAGTAAAATACTATGTTTAATTGAGGGTTGATTGGTTAGTTGAATTCTCGTTAAATAAGGCTTTCTCATAAATGGAATGGAAGGAGCAACCATTAAGAGGAGAAAAACCACACCATCCATCCTTTAAGAGCATGTTGGCCATTCCAGCCATTTGGTCCATCATCTTCAAATTCTCTTCTCTGCCACATGTTTTCAGGTGTGCAGAGAGTTCCAGAGAGGAAACTGTGCCCGAGGAGAGACTGACTGCCGCTTTGCTCATCCTTCAGACAGCACAATGATTGATACAAATGACAACACTGTAACCGTTTGTATGGATTACATAAAGGGTCGTTGCATGAGGGAGAAATGCAAATATTTCCACCCTCCTGCACACTTGCAGGCCAAAATCAAAGCTGCTCAGCACCAAGCCAACCAGGCTGCCGTCGCTGCTCAGGCAGCCGCTGCAGCAGCGACAGTGATGGTAAGTGAGCATCTCTCCAGCTTTGCCTTTTACCACCTTCCTCCTGCCCAGCCATGGTTCCCCTAACAGTAGGAATTTCCCATAGGCCACATTCCCTTTGTATTGCCCTCGAAGTAGCTAGGAAATTGGGAATGCTGCTATTTTTTCTTCCCTACTGTATTAGTTTCTTCAGTGTCTGCCCTTCCTTTGCTATTTCAGCACAATAGATAAACCCCTTGGGTGTAGAGAATTATTAAATACTTCTTGCTCTCCTCTCGAACTTTATTTCTTCACCTCCAAATTTAAATGTGTCAGTTTAGTTTCCTGATAACAGAGAATGGAGGACATGGGATACAAAAATATTATCAAGCAATGTGTTTGTGGGGAGGGGTTATACAGATGCTGTTTTGAGAGCATTGGCTAATAACAAGTGAAGGGTTTGGGCCTTACATCTTCAGAGTGGGAAACAAAAAGCAATTGAAGTTAATGAGCTTCCTTGAGTAGCAATGTTGGAGACAAAGTTGGACAAAACAAGGCAGACATTTCAGGCCTTTTCTAGAAATTTCTTCAGCTCTTACCTGCTTGAGCATAGCAGTTCCAAATTCATTTCTGTTGGTATAAGAATTCTGGCCTACCATTGCCTTGCTTTAATACAAGAAAGGCAATAGGCAATTATTTCCCCTTTAAATATATTTCATATTAGTTACCTACCAGCACTTAATAAAGTAACCCATCAAAATGGCACAATTCTGTTATTTTTGGTGAACTTATTAAGATATGGAGGTGTTGTCCTTGTTTTGTCCTTCAGGCCTCTTTCAAAGGGTTGCTATTTTTCATGTCTTCCTCATTCTCATTTTTCCTCTCCCTCATCATTTCCTCTGAACTTAATATCTTCCTAAATGCATCTGTATCAATGGGGCCATGTTTAAAAAAAGATGCAATATAGCATTATTTCATAATATAGAAAAACTTAATGTTTCTCTTTTGGCAAATTAATACTTTTGGAACTGGCTTTATAAAAGGAACTTTTATAAAGAACTTTATAAAAGTACTTAATTAGTTAATTATTAAGTAGTTAATTATTATTTCCACATATGAAAGGGCTTTTTCTTTAGAGTAAATAACATTTTGCAACATTTTATATACTTACCATATTTTTTCAAAGTGGAAAAACTCTTTAGTTTCCCATTTCTTAATATTGTGTGAGAAATGTCTTTTCTTCTCCTTTTTTTCTCCTTTTTTTTTCTTTTTGCTAGGCAGTTGGGGTTAAGTGACTTGCCCAGGGCCACACAGCTAATGAATATGATGTGTCTGAGGCCAGATTTGAACTCAGGTCCTCCTGACTCCAAAGCCAGAGGTCTATCCCCTATGCAACCTGGCTGCCCCAAGAAATGTCTTTTAATTATATTTTTTGTTTAATATATAAGCAATTCTAAGGTACCAATAGGCATGTTAATAACTCACAGATATATAGTGTTTTCCTTACAACATGTCTATGAGGTAGATAGCATAAACACTATTTTCTCTAATTTAGAGATGAGGAAAGTCACTTAAAAATTATGTAGAAAGTTATTTTGGAACTCATAACATGTTTTCCGATAGAAATAAATTGAAAAATGGCTAGGGTCCCAGACTACCCCACAAAACTATATTCAGCCCATAGTATAGCAAACTATGGTATTAATAATAAATCTAAGTTTCCATAAACCTTCCTGAGCTTCAAACACTGAGCTCAGTTTACATGCCCAGGTTGCAAGGCCATGATGGTAGCAGTTCACAACCTAGCTGTGGGGAATATGTTCATATCACCAACATAGATTCAGAAAAGTTTTTGCAGTAAATGAAGCAGTAATTACTATAGTTTCTTATAATTTCTTCCCAATATCATGAGAACTATCACTGTCTACTGAAAAACAACTCCCCAAAAACAGTCTTACTGAAAGAGAAGCCACATATCCTCTCTAACAAGGATATGTAAAATACTGCAGTTGTCATGTCTATTTAGCTCAAGTCAATTGCAAGTTGCAGTAATCATCATGGATTCAGTTGGGTAAATCAACATGGTTCTGTTCTAACACTAACACTGACAGTGTACTAGAGACATACTCTTCTATTTCTTGATATGAAAATATGAATGTGAATTGTGACTTTTATGATTAATATAGCCAGATGATATCAATGATCCAGTCACCTAGGTAAGAAATACTGCTGCCTGGGAAGTAAATTAACTAAGGAACAAATTTGTAGACATTCGGAGTTAAAATGTAAGTTTTTCCAGCTCAAAAAATGACTATAAAAGAATTTGAAATTTCTAGCCCAGGAAAGGGGAAATTTATTCAACAAAGCATTTATCAAGTGTCCACCATAGGCCAAGAACTGTGCTAATTGCCAGAAATATTGTACTTATATTTTTATTGCTCCTTTTGTACATCTTGAACTGTGACAATCAAAGATAATCCACTTCCCTCCATAGAAGTTTTTAGACTGGAAACTTAATAGGAGATAATTTTCCTGTGTAATTGCAATGCAAAAGTTATCTGATTTTCCATTCAAATCAATTTTATTAACATATATGAAAATGTAGTGACATAAGCATTTTTTAAAAACCCTCTCATCTGTTATACACATTTCAATCGATCATGAAAAAGATGTAGAAACTGAGTACAGTTGGCCACTTTCTCACCTTTCTTTTTTTTCAAAGTTGAAATCTGACATTCTGTTCAACCTTGCCAGGACTTGTTTGACCTCCAAAATGTTCTCTTGTCCTTTATCTCCTGGTCAGACCCTGGATAGGTCTTCAGTTTTCCTGTCCTGGCCCTTAGCCCTTATTCTGAATACTGAATCCTAACAAAACTTTATACTAACAACCTATCATATTCTATTCATGAGAAGAGAAACTGGAGAGATATAAAGCTATGAAAGCACAGGATAAACTTTAGGGCATAGACAATTAGATCTAAGAAAGGTTGGAATAAATGGAATGGTGTAATCCATTGGTTCTCAAAGTATAGTAAGATCTGTGGGAGTCTCCAAGACCCTTTCAGCAGATCTAAGAGGTCAAAATGCTTTTCATAATAACACTAAGATTTTTAAATGTCTAATATAGCAGATATTAGTAGATTGAAGTCCAGGGTTGTGCTGTAGCTAGCTCAAACTGGCCTACTCTTTCATTGATGTATATCAAAAGTGATATAGGCAGGTGTTAGGTTTGAGATGCAAATTAATTTCAGACAATGAAATGTTTTTACCAAAGAAGGTAAGGAGATATAAAGATCTTTAAAATAGGATTTCACTGAATAACTTGAACGTCATTTTTTATGGATTAGACACATAAGATCATTTCTAGTCCTATGATTTTAGGTTATGTACAGAAAAAAAAATTAACCCCAATTAAATTAAGGGAGAAAACCTTAACTTTCCACTATCAGTCATGACCAAGGAAGGATTTTAAATTGGCTTTTACTTCAGCTGATGCCTTGTTTTATCTCTACTTGTCTTATTTTAGAGGGGTCATCTACTATTTTGGCTGTTCGAAGAAGGAATGCATTATGAAACAGATGTAACTGACAACTCTGACTAAAGGGAAACAGGCAGCCTTTGGGTCTTTGTGCAATTAGGTCTCTAACAACTCAGCAAAGATTCCTTTCAGAAACAATAGTACTGTAGTGACAGCACATTCCTTTGGCCAAAGCCTTTATTAGTTTGAAAAGCAGCAATATGTGTCAGGTCTGGCTGGAGTTTGGGATAACATGGTCCCTGTGATGCTATGAATTTAGAGAATTAAGTTGAGTTTTCTGCCAGCAAAGCTAATTCTGGGGCACCTTATGCATTACAATCTCATTCAAACCTTTTATGAGTGTGTAGAAAATATTAGCAGTGATAAGAAGCAGGAAGGCTTAGCAAATGAGGGCCTGGCTTGGGTTCAGGCCTTTGGTACATACTAGCTGGATGATCATAGGCAAGTCACTTAACCTTGAGTTGTCCCAGGCTGCTCTGTAAGACTGTAAATTTCAGAATGATTGCAGATTATCTGAATTGGTATAGAGAGTTCCCTAAAGTAGAAATCTCTTAACACCAATGAAATCACAGATCTGGACCAATTCAATCTGGGTCAGATGGCAGAAGGTGGCACAGTTGAGTGGCATGCTTAACAGAATCCAAAATGGGGCTGAGGAATTCACTGTCTCACTAACACTTGTACAGGGAAGGCTTAGTGGACAACATGGAATGGTTCAAGATGTCAAGGAAAGTTTGTCTGGGCAGAAACAATGAAAAAAGGCTAGATAATTCAACTCATTTATTAAGTACATTTATTAAGTGTGCTAGGCTCTGGGGGAAAAAACAAATAAGTCACATGGCCCAGCACCAACCTTCAAGGAGTATAACATCTAATAAGGAGGATTAGATAGAAACACATACCTAAATTGCACCCTATAATGTGACAAGTACAAAGAAGGAGTCTGTACAAAGTTCTATAAAATATTTGAGAAAGAGATCATTTACAGAGTTGGAATAAGAAAGGGAAGACAACTCTCAGGGGACGGTTTCATGGAGTTCCAGGGTTAAGGGAGATGGTAGCATCTAAGAATTTTAACAACAGGGAGACTTCATTCTCTTTTAGGATCCCTGAGGCTGAGTGAAGGAGTTAATTTTGCTGCATAGAAAATTAGAACTACTAGAAGACTCACAATAGTCCAAAATAGGCAAATGATGATTCTAAAGCCATTGAGTCTGAGGCAATTATGGTATGGCATACCATCATTTCCAACTTTACATACTTCTTTTTGTTTTCTTTCTTCCTTTGTTTTTTCTTTTCTTCTTCCTGTTTTGTTTTTTTTTTAAATTCCTGGCCTGTACAATAGGTCTGCCAAGGACCCATAGGTATTATTGAGCCCTGCTGGTACTTTGGTGCTAAAATAAGAGTAAAACAATCAGAACCTAGGTTGTGCTCTAGTACGTGACAAAAATGGACCTGAAGAATATGATGTTACTTGAAATACAAAGATAATTGATGCTCAGGTGTGTTAGATTATCAAGTTCATTTTAGTTCCCTTTAGAAAAAGAGGATGTACACTTCTGTAATTATCATTGATTAAACTTTTTTTTAACGTCATTCTGTTAAGAGAGAAATAAACCTCAGTGTTTGAACAAACAAGAGACAGAAGCAATATGACAATTTACTAACTTCTCTAGAAGGAATTCACCTATGTAGCCAGTGTTCATTTTTTAAAGCAGAAGCCATGCTTCATCAATAGTGGCAGCCATTGATTCTAATGTATACCTTCTACCCAGATTCCCTTTTTTGTCATCTCTCATTTGAACTTCTTCTATATCCATTCTTCTTCCCAGTCTTCTCATTAGCACTCAGTCATCCTGAATGTCTTTATCTTCATCAAACATTCCCTGTCTCCTAATTCCCTTGTGAGTTTTCCCTACTTTGACCATCTTAGCTCTTCTCTCTCTCTCTCTCTCTCTCTCTCTCTCTCTCTCTCTCTCTCTCTCTCTCTCTCTCTCTCTCTCTCTCTCTCTCTCTCTTCCATATTTTTTAATCAGAATATTCAAATGTTGGTGAGTGACACTTTATTTATGGAGGGAAATGTGGCCCATCATATGCCTTGATTCAGTGTTACTGTCTGACTGCTTTTTCATATTTTATTTATTTTCTGTCTGCTCTTCCACATCTGGAGTTTAAAATAAATTCATAAATATGAATTCTTTAACTAAACATGAGGGGCTTACCTATTGTGCTGCCCAAAAAAAAGGACTTTTTTTTGTTTCATTTATGGCAATTCCTTCGATCCTATGTATTTTCACAGAATGCTATTATGCTACTATGGATCTTTGTAAAAACTAGAAAATATTAGCAAAATTTTCTGTTGTGATCTAATCAGATCAACCTTTGTTTTCATTTCAGCCCCTTAAATGCAAATATTGGCAACAAAGTATGGTTATGTGCTAAATATGTTACTTGGTTTAAGCATTTTAACAAGTCTGCTATTTTTAGCTGTTACTCCTTTTCTAACCATCAGTTCCATGCTCTTACTAACTCAGTCACTGATCTTTCTAAGTATACATATAAATTTACTGAATATAGATGAGTATGATAGCTCAGAAAAACTTTATTGCTAAAATAAAAAGTGTCATTTTCTCGGTATATTGCGGTAAGTGAAAAACACCTAAGCCACAATTCCAAATGTAGTAAATAATATCGAATGGATGATAAGTTAGTCAACAGACATAAAATTTTAATGTGAAATTGGGAAAAATGAGAAACAAACTTTAATTCCAAAACTTGCTAAAATCAGAAAGGTACTCCACACTGCCAGGTCCACAATGGCAAAGTAAAATGGAGAACTGAGGCAATTATCCACATAATTCAGCCAAAGAAAAAGAAAGTCCCAAACACTTTTGCCTAAATTATTTGGTGTTTGTTATTTTTTTTTGCCTGAATTTTTTTGCCCCAGTTTGTCACTTTACTTTGCTACAGTAGATTTGTTATGAAAACATGTAATATTATCCAACTTGGGCTGCAAACAACAATTATTAGATTATTTTTGACTTGACAACTAACTTATCAGAAGTTCTTCTAAATCAACCCCATGTAATCTCTAAGATTTTTGCATTTCTGTGAAGCAATATAAAAATGCTTATGGTGTGTATGCAAGCTGCTATTTTAATTAACTTTCCTGAATTTCAAACATCTATATCTCTCTTATATGCTTTTAACTAAGGTATAGTAGATGCATTTTTGCTTCAATACTAATTCAAGGTGTAATATTCATTTCTTTAGAGAACATTTTTGTTGTTGTGCATGCCTAGTGTTTTGTATGTTGTATATTGCATTCAGAATATTTTTTTCCTTCTCACCTATCCACAATGCAATGCCGTTCCCATGATGCACCTCTGCTTGCTGTTTACCTGTATGTTAATTCGCTTGAATCCCATTGGCCCACTGCCATCATGTGCTCGCTGCCTGTTATTAAAAGACTCAGTCGACTGCCAAAGCAATGAAGCGACCTCTCGAAGCAACTGTAGACCTGGTACTTTGACCTTTCACCTTTCGCTTTGCATGTAGCTTTTCAGAAAACCAACTGAGATTTGTATTGCTTTTTGTTTTAACATCAGTTGAAAACAGTCATTATTATTAATTTATGGAAATATCCAATTTAGTGTTTAGCCATCTCATTTTTCATATGTAATAAATGCAAGAGAATCATTTAATCCTAACATGTTTTAATACCGTTTCTAAAAGTTTTGAAGCAAGTTTCAATGATTTGGTAAAAGAAAATTCTCATTAAAATCCTTATTAACTTTTAAGCTTCAAATATTTTCATGTAGTTAGGGAAAAAAAGTACTAGGTATTAATAATACAAGTGCCTTTTTCCTTTAGAATAGTTTAACTCATTCTTAAAGCAGATGCCATTTTTGTTGCTTGATAGTTTCCTTTTCCATAGTTGTGGTGCTACAGTCTTAGGTTAATGAAATCATGCTTTTGCCCTCAATAACAAAACCTCACTCATTGTACATCGCTGCTGTTTGAATTAAGGTGCATGGCAAAGGCATCTCTTTAGCTGTCAATTTTTAAAGTATGTTGCAATATTTTATCTCTGTGTAGACTGGGTATGTTTTTTACTTTAAGTTCTACAAGTCTTATCAAAATTCCTTGTTTGTAGGCCTTTCCTCCCGGTGCTCTTCACCCTTTACCAAAGAGACAAGCACTTGAAAAAAGCAACGGTGCCAGCGCCGTCTTTAATCCCAGCGTCTTGCACTGTCAGCAGGCGCTAGCCCATGCACAGTTGCAGCAACACACGGCATTTATTCCTACAGGTATGTTCCACTTTACATTTTAGAAAAAAACCCACCAGTTTGAATATGCTTCTGGTAATTCACTCTCTTTTTTTCATTTCTTTAAGCTATTTGGTGACGCCTCCTCTACTTTTAAAGGTACAGCACGGACTGAAACCTGGATGTAGAAGGATTTATGTTAATTTGAATTTCATCCAAAACCTGTTACAATCCTAAAGCCAAATAGTTTAGATAATTAAATACTAGATGTGATCCTTGAGATAAATGATAAAAAAAAACCAACCAGATCTCTTGTTTTTCTGTATTTACAGACTGAATATTGCTAATATGAACATATCCTTTTAATATGGAACATTTCCAAATGAACCCAAGGTTTATTATTAATGTCTTGTGTGTGTATATATATATAATATGTATATGTGTATATACATATATATGTATAACAAATGTGGAATACTAACCTCAGTCTTTTGCTAGACAGTATATTCAAAAGACAGGCAATGTAATTTAAGGAAAATCTTCCAATCATATTGCCCTTGTCTGTACCTTTTCTCCATCTCCATCAATATCAAATTTGCAAAGACCTTAATTTTGCTTAGTGCCAAGTCACTCCCTGGTAACATGTGAGATGCTTCAGTGTATTGACTCTTTCTGGTTACTTGAGGGTCGTTTCTATTAACCATAGTATTCTACTGGTAAATCATCTAGTTCTAGCCTCCCATTTCTCAGATAAGGTAAATGTGGCTTCCAAAGGACGTATACTAAGTAAGCAGAGGACCTGGGATTGGAACCCAAGTTTTCCAGCTCCTGGTTCCAGCTCTCATTCTGTTACATGCTGTTGTCTTTACGTAGTATAGTCTTTGGCACCAAATATGGGGAGAAATCAATTAATGAATAGTTAGTTTATATAATACCAAACAATCAGTTTGATGAATTCTTCTTTTACTTAATTAGCTGGGTTTTTTTTTTCACACCACAGGCCAAATTGACCTGATGTTTCTGTATCAGGGAATGGCTTAGGCCCTGGGGAGCAGAAAGTATATTGATTGTTTTTTTTTTTTAAATTATTATGTTTTTTCAGATGGGGATGGGGGTGATAGTGATAGTGATAGTATTTCAACATTATTTAATCTTGTTAAAGGAAACAAATAAATTTAAGCTAGTTTATTTACTATTAAAAAACTAATGAAATCAAACATTTTAAATGATATATTAGAGTGGCTAATCTTTTTAAGAATTTTTTTTCAGCTCCTTATATGTATGGTAAGCATGTCAGTCTAAGAAGTTTTAGTTAATAGTCTTTCCTGATATTTTGTTATTATGTGTATACTCTGGCATGTGTTTATTAATCTTTTAAAAAACATTTTTAAAGTTGTAATAAGTACATGCATTAAGCAAGTGAAAGGATTCATAGTGCTCTGCTTTCTTGGTTTAGAGATTTATATTTATTTTAAAACTAGAAATCACGTTCCCACAAAATGCACTTTCCCATGTTGGAAATCACTACTACTGTTCAGGCTTCACTGGTACCATGGTAAATAAAGCCCAATTTGATTATATTCTAGTACATTTATATAATTTGTATTTCTATATACAAAATTATTAGTCACTATGGCTAATGTAATTCAATCGCATTATTCCAAGTTAGGCTTAGCACAAGGTTCTCTGAGATAATCAGATATTTCAGGATTTCCACAGGCATCTCCTAATGTTAGGTTGATGAGATTTCCACCACCAGTCCCCTGACTATGATAAGTTTGGGCAACAACATGGTATAACAGAAAGAGAGACAAACCTGGGTTTTGTTCTTGGCTCTGCCACTAACTCTCGGGGTTCACCAGGAGCCAGTCATCTCACTTCTGCCACACCTCTCAGGTTTCTTATTTGGAAAACAAGTGGGTTGGACAAAATGACCTCTAAGGTTCCTTCTAACTCTAAAATTCTGTGATTCTGAAAAACAGGTCAAAAATAACAAGAAAATGTGGGAAAGTTCATCAAACCCAGTTCAAACCTTGCAATTGCCTATGAATCCCAAGAGCTCTGCTGAACAATGGAACTTAGATAACTTGTGATTCGTTTTATCACCTCTAACACTAACATTTAACATCCCTCCATAATAACTGTTTCATTTAATCATAGAAAAAAAATCTCTCATTTAAAAATACTTCACTTAGAAATCATTTAGATATTTTCCAGTCAAGAAAACATATCATTCCTATGTGCCATGTACAATTTCTTGATTTTTGTTTATGGAAGAATATTAAATAATTAAGGAAACATAAAATGTTGCTGGGGCTGTGTACTGTTGCCCTCTATTGGATGAATTAATCACTCACGTTCGTATAGGAAAGCTTTGTGTACATTTTGACTGTGGGAGATTAATTGTAAACCACATATTTCTGTGAAATTTGGAGTGGCCAAAGGTGTGTCAGAAGTGCTTTCATTGATAGTCATATTGTAATTTTTTTTAAAATATGCAAGAATGTAAGTCTTTGCAGAGAAACTTATAGAAACATTTGTGAAATGCAATGCATGAAAGAGTTCTTCATCTCAAATACTACTTTTTTTTCCTGAAGTTTTATGATGCTTGTACATGTTCTCCATATATGTTTGAAAAAAAATTAATCTGAAAAGAAATGAGCAAAACGCTTTTGCCTTTGCATGACAATTTCAGGAAATACTATGCTCACTTTACTTCTGGCTAGTTTCAGATATTGCTTTAACTTTGTATAAAGTACATTTCCAAAAATCCATGATAATAATAAAATTATTGTTATTATTGTTGTTTTAAATCACACAATTCAAATGATTACTTTAAATCATTTTTTTTATTTTGCTGCTTGATGGATGATGGTCTTTTTGCTTTAAACTGGCAGAATTTGTTTTTTTTTCTCCCTATAGTTTTTTTTTATGTTTAGAATATTTTATAAAAGGAAAAAAGGAGCAACATATATCCATATAGAGGTTATCCTTTATCATAAGGTCATTCATAGTAAAGTTTTTGATGAGTTACTGAAATCAGCACCACTGAAACAGGGTAACTTTCACGCAAGATATAGCAATGTTGTCTAATAGTGGTGTGGACACCATCAATACCTTGCAAGATTGGGAACTCCTGTAAAAAGCTAATGTAAAACAGACACAGTCCTCATTGGTGCCCCCAGCATATTAATAGTAGGTAATTTTCCCTCTTTAAATTTAACCCAGTGGTTATCATTCTTTTTTTTCTATTAGGAAAGTGATAAAATATATATACACATCTACAAAAATAACAGTATAACAAGTCTTGGCATCTCTGATGGTTTATTCTGAATTGCCAAAAGTGTTTTTGCAGACATTATCTCATTATTTCTCAATATATTTTGCTATAGTCAGTGGCAGATATCATTGCACTCATTTTGCAGATGGAAAAACTGAGTTTATAAAATATTATATAAATAATATAGTTATCCAGATAACTTACACTTGTATAGCCAAACCCCTTTGGTGAAAATATCCACACAAAAGATGTTTTGAACATTTTTTTCCTCTCCTGAATATAATATATCAGTGTAACATGTTGGCAAAAAAAGAGGTCACCTACCCATTTCATTTCATTAAATACTATGTAGATATGTGATTTAAAAAAAAAAACATTTTGGTTCACATAGTTTTCCACATGGAAGCCATGTAGCCTTGTGCAAAATTCATAGACATTTTTTCAAAGAAATTATATAAAATTGTAGACTCAAAGCTAGTTATTACCTCATATGTCATCTACTCCACTTCTCTCATTTACAGAAGAAACTGAGACTATAGCAGATCCAGGTCTTCTGACTCCAAATGCAGTGGTCTCTCCACTCTACAATGCCACCTCATGGGTCCTGTTTAGATAGTTAAGATAGCTTTAAATTGTGGCTGTTTCAATGTCATGCTATTGAGGGCCAAGTCCACAAGACACAGCTTATCAGGTCAAATGAACATTTCCCAGAATCTCAGAGTTGGAAGAGACCTCAGCGGCCATCTAAGCAATCCATTCCTAAATAAGCATCCCTTTGAATAATGGTTTATCTAGCTTTGACTTGCAGATTGTCAGTGAAGGTTAGTCCACTACCACCTGGCAGTTTTACTTTGGAGAATCTTTTGTCAGGAAACTCTTCTAAAAATCACCTCTTTGCCATCTTGACCCATTGTTCCTAATTCTGCAGAGTAAGCAGAATAATTCTAATCCCTCACTACCTCACCTCTTTCACTCCTAAATTTTCTCTGCCCTAGGCTAAGCATCCACCATAGATTCAACTGATCCTTATGAGACATAAACTTGCGGCCCTTCCCCATTCAGCTTGCCCTCCCCTGGATGGCCTCCAGCCCTTCATAAAGTATGGTAACAGGAACTGAATATAGTACCTCTGATGTAATCAATATACTACCCTGATCTAAGCAAGGTAGAGTACAGTGAGACTCTTACCTCCCTAGTCTTCAACTGTTTCTTTTAATGCAGACTAAGGTTACATTCACTTTTCTTGGCCTCCTGATCCCACTGTTAATTCATATTAGGCTTTCAAGCTATTAAAACCTTCAGATCTCTTCAAGATACAAGGCAGAGCTAAAGTTCTAACGCCTAGTCCTTTCTACTCTCCTGAAGCCTTCTAAATCATTGGTCTCACTTAAAGGTTATCCCATCAGACCCAGTGACTGTCAATTCCAGCCCTGACCCCCAACTCAGTCCCAGTCTCTGATACAAAGCTGGGTCCAAAATGCAAGTAGCTCAGTAGGAAGTCGGATTGTAACTGAAACAAGAATCAAAATCAAATCACCGTTGCTGTAAGTACAGCAGGCAAAGAGCTGAGCTCAGGCGATAAGGAACATTTAGACGTTGACACTCTGCCTCCCTCCTCCCCCACCTCCCCCCACCAAAGGATTCCTAGGCTCCATCTTCCCATGTTCATGGGCTTTCAAACAGAAATGCAAAATTCCCTTTATCCTTAAGCCTTAGCCTGAATTGCCAGCAGCCAGGGAGGAAAAAAATTATTCCTGGCACCATGGAGGCAGGGGAATTAACCACCTGCTTTTTAAGAAGGGTGTCAAAGCCAAAGTGTTTTATAAACTACCTAAGCAAGGTAAAGTCCAGTATGATTGCAAGACAAAGTCAGAAGGGGTCCTTGTGTCTTTCTGTGGCAATCGAGTTAAGTTATGCTGGGCTTTGCTCAAGTGAACAACATAAGGAGTAGGCCAATGACAAGATAAATACCCATAGACAATACTACTTGCTTCTCTGCAGCCTTCCCCTTAGTTTCTGAATTAGAAGTCTGCATTTATTGGCTTCTTATTTGGGAATCTTGATGACCTTGCTAACTTGGAATATTTTCAATGACAAAAGAACCAGTCATTATAATGTAATGAAGACCATGTAGTCTACAGTGGGTAGAACATTTAACCTGAATTTAGGAATATGAATTCTATTTCTATCCACACTATTGACTCCCCCTGTGTGTGACCTTAGATAGTTTTCTGTACTTAGTTTTCATCTGCAAAATAACTACTGTTTTCTTTTAAGGGGAATAACTTGATAATGTCTGCAAATTATTTTGAGGTCTTGTAGGAAAGGATACTATTAAATGCATTTTCAGGGATACAAGTCAAAATTATGAAATGCCTATCAGTCAGTGTGCTTTAATTTTTGCACAAAATGATGTCATTTATATTCATAAATGATGGAAACTATGAATGATCTTCAAAGGTCATGTTAAACTAACCTCTGCTGTTTCTGTTTGTGCTTGAATCTCACTCTGAATGTTAACTCTAAACAGCTAACCTGTTTCTTTCCCTTTATTCACTTTTCCCACCTCCCATTGCATGACATGCAGGGTCAGTTTTGTGCATGGCACCCGCTACCAGTATTGGTAGGTTCCAACCTTTTTTATTTGTCTTTGATATTCTGTATAATACCTTCACATGCTTCAAACTTCATTTTGGAAATCTCAGACATTCCTTAGAAAATGGTTAGATCTGAAGACTTATTTGACTTTAGAGTTAACTCATAGGGTTTTTAGGGTTTTGTTTTTGTTTCTGTTTCTAAGAAAACTACAGCTTGGATGTGACATCCCCTGCTCTAACTACCATTCTACACTAGCATAAAACCATGAATTCCAATCTGCTTTTCAGTGATTTCTATTTTGATTATTTGTATATTTTATGTGGTCTAGCATAAGGGGAGGGGGGTAGCTTACTTTATAAAAAGAGTAGGCTGATTTCATTGGTGTTTTAAAGTTTCATAGTGGTGTGCCTTTATTTCCTCTTTGCTGTGTGTTAGAGTTATCAGAGTTTCCCAGAATTCTTTTCAATATGTTTTCAAACAGAAGTGTTTTATAAGACAAAATGCTTAAGTTGCCACCCTCATTATTATGTCTTCTGTGATCATTCTTTTTATTAACTTTAGTTCCCCCTTAGAAAATATAATTTAATATTAAATGTAGATTGTTTTTTAAAAGTTGGTGTTATTGTATGAAAACAAGCAAAGATTAAATTTAAGTGCCACTGATTATTTCCAATTAAAAATGGTTCTAAAATGGTATTGTACCAAAATAAATCTGACCGTTTCATAGCAAATTTATCACTATTTGCACTCAGGCTATAATTTTTGGACACAAATAAACAACAATCCATGGCAGTTTGCATTGAAACAGAACAGCAGGGCTAATGAAAAATATTAATTTTGAGCCAAATTGAAAATCTCAGCATTATTCAATGCTAATAAAATTTCAACCTAATCATAAATCATTTTAAGGAATAGCATTTCCCGTTTTGATTTGACAATTAAAACATTTTGTCTTTCATAAATCTATCAAAGAATATAAATTCTAGATTCCTGTATTATTGACAATTTTATTCACATTCATAAGAACTCTATAGCCACATGGATTAGAGAGAGACAATTTTGGGGAAAAATCATACTTAGAAATAAAATTTTTAGTATGACAACCAAGCTTTGGATTTTCTGGGAATCACTGATTATGTTTTAAAACTTCCTTTAATTGTACTTGTAATAAGCTATTTTCCCTTTTTTATTTCTCTCCCATGCTTCCTTGCTTTGCATTGTGGTTGCATGCCATCTGCTGGTTTAACCCATGATGGCTTGCTGCTCTGATATTCACCATGCCAAAATACCACTTCTATCACCATAATGCTACACCCTACTGTTCATTGCTTCCATGGTTCCCCTCCTGAAAGTACCCATGATGCACAGCGCTACGTCCGCCACTGTCTCTGCAGCAACAACTCCTGCAACAAGTGTCCCCTTCGCCACAACAGCCACAGCCAATCAGGTTTGCTCCTTTTAAAGCTTTCTTTCACAAATCCCAAACTCTAAATGAGTGCTGATACTTTGAAAAAAAAATTCTCAATGAGAATTTTTTTTTCATCTTTATCCATCAAATTTTATTTTTAATGAGTTTATAGCAATCATTTATGGACAGGTTGCACTTATTTAGAGTTAACATTTACTGCAAATAATGATGTAGCTATGTTTTGTGTTGCACTGTTCGTTTTTGTACCTAATATTGTGTAATTAACCTGACAGGCTTAAATTTCTTTTAGTAGAGCATTGCCTATCCAGTGGAATCAGAATTTCTATGTTAAAAGACGTCCAAACACACCATGGGCTGTTTCAAACTGGTTATATTTTAAGGTTTTATCCACACAAAGTGAGGTATGGAACTGAGGCAACTCTTCAGTTACTTGAGACCCAATGATCTGTTCTGGAGGAAAGGACTGTTTTCTTTTTATAGCCTACTCTTTTTCCTCAGAAACAGATTTGGGGTGGGAGGGAAGTTTGGGAGGAGGAGGTGGTTAAATTTTCTGGACTGATGGTTCACACTGATTATTACATAATCACTGGACTCTTCACACATTGTGTAGACATAGTCTTACTTAACCATACATACAGTACTCTAAGAAAACTATCATGCCACTTTGCTCACAAAGACTTGATGTAATCAATCTTCACTAATTAGATCAGCTTATTAGAACATGCTGCTAATAAGATCAAGGTCATGAGTTCAGTCCTGACTGGAATGGCCCACTAGTTTCCCACTGCCCCATGGCCACAGCCTGTAGAATGAGCAGGAGAGTGTGGATGGATGAACACAAGTCATGATCACTCTTGGAAAAACAACTCATAAAAAAAAGATAGGGCTTTTGTCTGCCATTATAAAGGCTACTGGGGGAAGATAAAAGCTAGTAGAATGGTGCTGGGGGGGGGGGAGGGGAGGGAGAGAGAGAGAGAGAGAGAGAGAGAGAGAGAGAGAGAGAGAGAGAGAGAGAGAGAGAGAGAGAGAGATTATGTGATGCAGAAAAATAACAGAATGAGGAATTCTAATAAAACCAAACCCAAAAAGAATAAACCACCAAACTGCATTTACATGGAAGTTCCATTCCCCCTAGGATAAAGGGCTAAGGAAAAAGGAGGGAGGGTGGAAGGAAAAAAGGAGAACTGAACAAAGCAGAGCTGTAGACAAGCTATTTACAAGTTTATTGTAAGTATCAAGTTACTTCATCTCCTTTCTCTACCTCCCACATGAATCGTATTCATTACCCAGAAAAAAATTTCCTAAACTCTCAAACCACCCACCAAAACAATAGATGGAAAATCCAAAAGCTAATTGGAGTAAAGTAGGGGATGAAGAAGTTCTATAACAAATATGTCTCCATCCTGAGAAGTTTTGGCTGCACCCCTGAAATGAGTCCTCATTAATAGGATCAAACTATAAGGTATACAATGAAAAAGAATACTGTTTAGACTCAGGTCTATCTCACCTATATGCACGTAGGTAAATCACTTAACTTTTCTGAGCTTCAGTTTCTTTTCTGTAAAATGGGGGTAATAATACTTGCATTACCTAACTCACAACTTCATAGATCCTTGTGAGGAAAGTACTTTGTAAAATCTTAATAAATCAGATTGGGGCAGGGCTGGGGTCGGGGGAAGACAAGTTCAGGACATATATTTGAGCCAATTTGGTATGTTTTACTGTAGACTAAGAGTCACCGAAGAAAAAGCAACCAACAAGTGTATAAATTGTGGTTTTGCTGACACTTCTATTGCCAGTGTTCTATAGTCAGAGCTTTAAAAAGTTCTGTGTAATTTCACAAAAAAAAAGTAATTATGTAGCTTCGGACCCAGGTACGGGAGGAATATGTCTTATACCACTGCCCAGATAACCCATTGTAAAATATATAAATTTACCTGAAAACAAGGAAACCTGCTGGTGGATGACCAATATCTACTTTGTCCCTTTTTTAGGAATAGTTTGCAGGAAATAGCATAAATTCATATATTCTGCTGTAGCAATTGTCAGGATCTAGTTTATTTAAGTAAATCACTCCAGACTGAGGCAACTGGCATCTGTTCTATACCATAAAATGCTTCGGTTGTTTCAGTGATTTGTCTATATCATAATCATATGGGGTTCCCAGTAGAATAATAATTATTATATTAATATCAGGCTTCAAAATATACAAAGTAATTTCCCTAGAATAACAGGATGAGCTAAGTAGTGCAAATACTGTTATCCTCTTTTTTTTTTCATATAAGGAAGCTGAGGCTTAGGAAAATTACATGACCTCTGAAAGTTTCACAACCAGTGTCAGAACTAAGACTAAAACCCAGTTCTGGCTCCACAGTCAATATTTTTCCTATCACATGACATCTCTAGTTATTTCAAGTAAGGTAAAATGGAACCAAAAAAAAAAAAAGGAGTCTCTAGGTCAAATGGAACAAGCCAAAACAATGACATTTGGATCCAACCAACTTCAGTGGCTCAGTACTGCCTAGGTATTCTCCTTCCTTAATTAGTTTATTGAAATCCAACTTTTGGTCTAACCAGTTGCTCAGCTGGGAAGAAGCTTTATCTCAGGTGAATTTGGTTCTAGATTCTGAGGGTCCAACTTGTGATCTATGCATTATGCCTTTCCCTGTGTACCATGAAACTGAAATTTTTAGCAAAATAAAACAAAACAAAAAAACCTTTTTAATGAATCTGTTAGCAGATATAAATTAGCAGGGCAGTTGGATCTATCCCATTGCATAACTGCTGCCAGGTTGGCTTTTGTCTTTGTAGCCAAGCATAGTGCCTGGAACACTGGTCCTTAGCAAGTGCTTATTGAATTGGATTGAGCTAAATATTAGCCAGCTTCAATCAATTAGTAATTGTAATTGAAGCTCAATGTGATTAATTCATTCAGCCTGAAAACATGGATTGATGATCATAGGTCCTTCAACAGAAAAACTTGTCCCTGATTTGGAAGGATTTTTCTCCTTCCAGTATAATAATCATACGAAAGGCAGCCTATATTATTTTGTCTTGGTAAAGAATGCAAAAAAAGCAGAAGATGAAAAGGCTTTTATTTTCTTGCCTTGAAAATGACTGGAGAAGTTTTTAAGAGGGGCAGTAAAGAGTAAACAATGCTTTATTTAGAGTCAAAGACCCTGGATTCTAGTCCTGGCTCTGCTATGCAATAGCTCTATGACCATGAATAAATCAGCTCACCTCTGTGGGCTTTAATACATTTTCTATAAAATAGAAATAGTGTGTCTAATATCTACCTCACAGAGCTGTTGTAAAGACAAGTGAGTTAATAAATGTAAAATGCTTTGTAAGCTATAAAGCATTCTATGAACATTAACTATTATTATGATAAGCTACCTTCCAAGAGTACCATAGGGTTTAATTGAGATTCACTAAAGAAAGGTTTAGATATAGATAGACAGATTGATAATATATTATCATCTAGTATATTTTCACTTCTGACAAATACTTTACTCTTCGTGGTAAGAGACTCTAACCCAGAGAACTTTTTTTTTGTATGTAATATCTAAAGACATACTCTCAGTTCCAATTGCATG